CCTACCACCCCGACCACCTGAGAACCCGAGGACAAGCTGTCCCACCTGAACCCATCAGACTTTTGGAGCACAGGCAGGAAACGATGGCAGAGTCTGTGTAGGCAGATATGAGGAGTGGCATCTTGTAGCAGCAGCCCAGCCTCTGCCTCCTTCCTGCACCCAAGCCAGTTCATGGTGAATTCACCCCGAGTCCTTCCTACCAGAGGGTAGAACAGACCTCCCCAGCATCCCTCACCATACTGTCTGGAACAGTATACCCCTGGACCAGGGCCCTCCTCAAGGGCACAGACTCATCTCAACCCCTGTAATAGGGGCTTCAAGGAGGACTCCCCCAAATGCTGCAGAGATCACACCATTTCAAACCATTGAGGGTGGACAAGAAGGCTCAGAGAGTAAAAGGCCCTTGTCATAATTGCCTGATGACCTAGGTTTTATCCCTGAACCCACATGAAGGTGTGAGGAGAGAACTAACTCCCCTTAGCACACACGCTGTGGGCGTGCACACCCATACACACTTCGTGCACACACAATAATAATTTTTGTAATTTGATTTAAAATTACAACATCAAATGCAGGTGTTGTAGACCCCATGGGTGGTATCATTTGTCTACCCCGATGTCAAGCCCTGAGTCGACTGGGGTGTGCTGTGTCGTGAGCTGAGGGAGCCAGTCCTAATATGCTGGTAAATGCCTGACCCGGGACACCCTCTCCCCTGGGACAACCCCAGCCCGTAGGAGTCCTGTGATGTGGCCAGTTTTCAGCCATTGAGATGAGCCTGCTCACCTGGAGCTATTCAAGATGCTCCCAGCTGCCGGCAGTGGTGGCGCACGCCTTTAATCCCAGCACTTGGGAGGCAGAGGCAGGCGGATTTCCGAGTTCGAGGCCAGCCTGGTCTACAGAGTGAGTTCCAGGACAGCTAGAGCTATACAGAGAAACCCTGTCTCAAACCCCCCCCCCCAAAAAAAAGATAAGATGCTCCCAGCTGGCTGAAACGAGTTAGGACCGCCACAACAGGCTGCCCCTCTTCACCTATGGACTCCTGCCAGCCTTCTGTCCAGTCTTCAGAACCATGTGGGTGACAGGTCTCTGACTGGTCCCTGCTCTGTGCCTCACCTGCCCTGTCTGTTCCTCATCCACTTCCATTCATATGTAAAAGTGTCAGCTGTGGTACCTGCCATGGGGTACACAGGCAGTGGACTGGTCTGGTGCTACAAAGTGGGAGTGGGGGCTCCCGCCAATGAAGCTCATCCAAAACCTGAGTCCCTTGAGGACAAGCTTCACAGCCCTAAGCTAGAGCTTCCTGTCCTGTAGAGCACTTCCCAGGGCTGTGGTGAGTGAGCGTGTCTACACAAACAACCCTCTTCATCCACTTACACATCTGTTCTTTCCTCATTGGCACCTCTTTGTCATAGTCACCCTGGAGACTCTGGCACATGGGACTTTGACACTGGGGGGTCATCGCAGCAAGGCAGGCATGTGCCTGTTCCCCTGAGACCATGTCACATCCAATAGGGTAGGAGATAGACGGTGGCCCTAAATAAACATCTGGGTGCAGGCTCACAGATGGAGGAGAATGTGGGTTAGGAATGGTGGGTGACAAGTCAGGGACCCTGATTTACAAAGGCCTCAGTGAGACCGCAGGACTGAGGATGTCACCCCAGGGATCTGAGGGAAGTGCATCCCCACAGGAGGAAGAGCCAAGAGATGGATGGGCGGGCATGGAACAGCAGAGCATTTGAACAAAACAAGCCAGAGAAGAGACACAGGAGACAAAGGCCACCAGCAGGGATTCAGGGTGCCCTGAGGACTTAGGGTTTTACTCCACAGAGGAAAGACTGTAGGGGCTGGAACAGAAGCAGAAAGTCTGGATGGTCAAGGCAGACTAGGAGCCCTGAGTTGGCCTAAGAGGTCGGATTCTGGATTCAGGGTGGCAGTGTTAGCATTGGCTGGGGAACCGTGGACCAGGAAGAGTAGTCACTGTCACTAAGTCTTTGGGTCGGGCTGAACTCTCAAGGGAAGGGAGAGGAACGTGTCCCAGGATAGGAAGACTTCCAGAACAACAAATCATACAGCCATGGGAGGCGATTGGAATTCTGGTAAGAATGTGGACATTCATGTGTGGCCTCATCTAATCCACCTACGTGGGAGACAACTGTTTCCCACTTCACAGCTGAGCAGACTGAGGTAGAGATGGCAGACTGCTGCCCTCCCAGGAGGAAGGAGGAGATGGTAATGGCAGATCTGAGGTCCTGGGAGATGTGGTAATACCTACCTGAACCTCTAAGCTACCAGGTGGCTCTGGTCACCTCTGAGCATAAGGGCTTAGCATCTGCAGCCTGTCACTGTGGTACCATGGGCCAGGGGATGCAGAATAAATGGATGGCACTGTGTGAGTCCTGGGTGAGACCTCTCTGTTCTGTATTTCCACCTCATGCTGAGGAGGGCTGTGGTTCCTAGTGTCTCTCAGACCCAACTACCTACTCTTACCACTCAAAGGCTTTAAGAAGATGCCCAGGTCAGGGCTCTCCACTTCCAGCAGCCAAAGTGACTCACTGCCAAAGCCCCAGGATGAGTGGGGAGAGGAACTGTGAACCCTCGTCAGTTACTGAAGTTTCTCATCAAATATTTACGGGGGAATTGATCTCCCTGGCGTCTGCCAGGCCGCTGACAGGCCCCTCCCTCCTTCCCCCTCTCCTTCTACACCCTTGGGTCTCCTGTTTTATTCCACTCTCCTCCCTTGGCTATCAAGGGTGCTGTGTGCTCTCCACCCCTGCACGCCACACCCACCTCTCCCCTGCCTTCCAACACCTCCATCCATGAGCCACGTGCCTGTTTTGAACACCAGGATGTCTGGTAACAATGGGTAATGTGGCTTCTAGACCTTGCTATTATGGAGAATGAGATAGGTGGGAATCTCCAGCAGTGGGGGGTGGGGGAGGAGGAGGAAGAGGGGAGGAGGAGGAAGAGGAGGAAGAGGAAGAGGCAGTATGAAGCATACCACTTCAACACTTACACACTGTCTCAGTTTTGAGCTCCTGTATAGACAGGGAAAGGACCAGGCAGCTTTGCTAAGGGGGAGGAGAGGGGGTGGGGGAAGAGAACAGAGAAGAAAAGTGAAGAAAAGACAAGACAGAGAAGAAAAGACAAGGACTTGGATACCAGAGACTATTTATTGGCTCTGTGAGTCTTTTCCAGGGAGGCTAGCACAGGGGACTTTATGAAGCAAGACAAGGCTGACACGGGTAGTGATCAGGTAAACAAGGTTGGTAGCAGAGCAGGTAGATTCTTTCCATTTGCTGTGGATGGCCATGAGGTAGCCAGGCCCTTTGAGCACTGTTGCAGTGGATCTAGCATCTGGACAGCTGTGGCCTTCAGCAAGCCTGGTGGAGCAAGCCTATTCTTGCTCCCCACAGTAACTCAGCCCCAGTTTGGGTTTGGTTTACCCCAGATGCCAGAAAGGCAGCTACAGGGAGAGTAAACGGAACCCCAGTAATGTATGTAGCCATGAATAAGGCCCAGTGTGTATTCTGAGGAAAGAGGCTCTCTCATCAGTGAGGGTGGGATATTGAGGCACATGGAGTTAGCTTTGGCAAAGACTGCATGCTTGAGAGGACTCCACTGGCTGACACTTTCCTGCTACCCCAAGGCTGAGGTGGACATAGCCAGTCTGAGAAGTCTATAATGCAACTGCCAGAAAGGTTGGGCAGTCATAGAAGGGAACAGGAAAGAGTCGTGCAAGCCCACCCACCCCCACACTGCCTCCTTGTGGCTGCATCTAAGTAGGTCCTTACTATATGATCTGTCTGGCACCGCAAGCTACAGAGGCGACCATGTTGGAGGGACACAGGTGGGTGGAGGCTAGCCCTGTCCTTCCTACTTCCTCATCTTAACAGAGTCATTCAACGAGGACATGAATTCTTGCCAATGTCCCCTTGGGGGTCTGCTTCAGTGTGAGATGCCACCAGTCCTCTCAGATCATGGACCTCTGTGGCCACACAAACTAAGAGCAAAGGCACTGCCTGCCCAGAGGAGACATTGCCTGAGCTGTGTCTGCAGCAGGGGACAGAGGAAGTAAACCAGTCTCCTCCCTTTCCGGCTTAGCCTACATATGGCTCTGCGGGACAGAAGCCTCTGTTGAAGGAAGAGCTCCTGGCTGAGCGTGTTCCTGCCTATAATGAGTTTTCCTCACAAGTACCCAAAAGGCATGGGGTGGGGCCAGACCTGCATCCTCAGGTTCCAGGTCCCTGGTGGTGCTGACACTGAGAACCCAGGGACCAGCTTTGAGAGTCACTGCAGACGGAGGCCATGCTGGGGTTAGGGGTCAGCAATGAAGGGCTGCTTATCGCTTCTCTGGGCAGCAGACTTTCAAGGGGGCAAGAAGGAGTCTGGGAGATCTCAGAAGCTTTCTGGCTGTAGTGATGAACCTGTCAAGGTGATCCGTGAAGCTACTACCCCTTCTACTGGGAAACCAAGGCTTGGACCGCCTTGGAGGAAAGGCTGGTTGGGGAAGAGGCTCGAAGGCAGAGGAACCGGGTGCTCCTTGAATAGATGGGTATCCATATCCCATATCCGGGGAATTGCTGGGTTTCAGTGAACGTTGTATTTCAGGATTTCAGTGTATCGTTGGGGTACACACCCAGTGACGGGTGTGAAGATCAGTCCGTCCATGTTGATTCTTACAGCTCCACCTGAGTCGGCACGGTCTTCATAAGTGATTGGTTTTAAACTCTAGGTGAGGAAACAGAATTCTGAAGTTGTGTGCTCATGTCTGACAAGTGGGTCACAGCCAAGGGTACCCCACTTCAGACCAGGGGCTCCCAGTACCTCTATCCTGGCTTCTTCTGCAGCTCTGAGCTGGGGCCTCTTCTTAGGGAGGACCTAGGAGATGCCACAGAAAGTGGTGTGTGGAAACTACGCAGCCTCAAGTGGAAGAGCGGCATCCCTTGAAGGCTCTGGAAGGACAGGGGTTCTAACCAGCGCTTTGCTCTCTCTACTCACAGGGCAATCAGGACGCCACGGCTCCGCCTGAAGCTATGGCCCAGCCCTACCCCCCTGCCCAGTACCCTCCTCCGCCTCAGAATGGAATCCCAGCTGAATACGCTCCACCTCCACCACATCCCGCACAGGACTACTCCGGCCAGACCCCTGTCCCCCCAGAGCACGGCATGACCCTCTACACGCCAGCACAGACGCATCCTGAGCAGCCAGGCACCGAGGCCAGCACACAGCCCATCACTGGGACCCAGACAGTGCCGGTAAGAGACCCTTCTCACATAGGCCAGCCCAGGACTGGGGAGCAGAGTGCCCCTAGTACATGCTGGCTGGGTAGAACTTTCTAGAAAGGGCCTCTAGAAAGGGTACAGGGTCAGGCTTCTTTGTCGGGCATTTGTCCCAGAGATCCTCACTCCAGTGAGCCTGCTTCCAAGCCCCAGACATCAGGTACACCTCATCGGACACCAAGGGTCCCCTCTGTGAGCAGATGCCAGGAAAGGACCACAGAGTCGGGCAGTGACCTCACTCACCTCACCCCATCTGGGAGGTAGGAAGTGTAGCAGTGGCTGCCGGTGGCCTGCTAAGGGGACGTAAGAGCCAGAGGCTTGGGCTGCCTAGGGTCTCGGGAGAAATCGACGGTGGGCTGTGGGTGTGGGCGGCTGTGGAGCTGTCTCGGGTTGCAAGCCCTCCTATCAGTTCTAATCATTTGTAATCTACCTGCTTGGCCGCCCTCCAATCAGATAGCTTCAATTACGTGGTTGTAATGCAGCTCGGGGGTGAAAGTGCTGAGCACAGCACTTCTCAGATTTCTTCACGGAGAAAGGAGTGGGAAACAGAGCCAGCCGCCTGGGTGGGCTCCGTCCTGCACGCCCCTCCTCCCGGGCTCTGTCCTGCAGCCCCCTCCCAGCCCCCTCCCAGGCCATAGCTGCTCAGGCTTCTCCTCTGGCTCTTCCTATTCCATTCCCTGTTGGCCTTCCCCTCTGTTGCTCTGGGACTTTGGGTTCATCCACCCATCCCTGCTGGCTCCATCCCAACAAGGCGGCTGCTGGCTGGCAGGGTCTGGGCAGGAGGCCAGCTCATTCTGCTCACCCCAGGCAGAGTGGCACCACCCTGGCGTCTCCCCAGGGGCCCTCCAGCTGTGCTCCCTTAGCTTTGCCCCCACACCAAGCCTGGCTCCACAGATGCTGTATAGACCCAAATACTGTCCTCTGCACAGGCAGGACATCATCCACCATCCTGTGTACCCTCTGCGGGGAGTCTGCCCCACTTGTACCTGGGCTGGGGCTGCGCCTGACATTATCCTGTGTCTAACCAGTGTTCGTCCTCCCTACACAAACACTACATGCTGAGAGCCAGCAGAACCTCAACTCCGACACAGGACTTCTGACCCCCCATCTCTCAGTCACCAGGATTCTTTCATTTGTGGGTCACAGACTGAAAAGGCCAACCTCTGGATCAACCTCTGGATTACAGAATTGGAGGTCTGGCTCTAAGTCACCAAGTCCACAGGCTCTATGTGCTCAGGAGAGACAGAGGTGATCCCAGAGGTGACCCCAGATAGACCCTACATAAGTCACAGCTATGTGGCCCAGGTCTTCTCTGATAGACTTTAGCAGACAAGCCCCATCTGACCAAACCTCTATGAACAAATGGTGGTGGGGAGTTGGAGAGTTCTCTCATGAGCCATGGGAGCTTTTTCACCTGGTCAAAAGCAAGTCACTATCACAGATGACACAAATGACATAAGGAGGGGACAGGCAGCTTTATAACTGAACAGCAGAAACCAGCACTGAAGCCTCTGGCCACCTTGAGCCTACCAGACAGACACAACTACCAGTATCTGAGTCAACTTCTCAGCCCTGCATAACCCAGGCTGAGTGCCAGGTACCAAGGCAGTTCTGTGGCGCAGAGAGGGTGTGACCAGCCCAATCCTTTGGATTCTGCTAATCTAAGGCAGAGACTTCAGGAAGCAGAGGGCTGGGGAGAGGACTGGTTGCCTGGGAGCAAGCTGAATTTTGAGGCTTGCTACTCAAATGCCTCCTGAGGGACATGGCTATGCCAGAGGATGTCAGAGCCCTGAGGAGCACACAACCAAGACCGTCCTGCTCTCTGACTGGAGTGTTTGGGTCATGGTATCAGATTTTCTAACCATGTCTATTTCACCATGAGGGCAGATGTGCTAGTCTGACCTGGGAACATGCAGGACACTGAGGGCTGCCGCTCCCCCAAACACCAGCCTTGATCTCTGACGTGGGTCCGTCTGTGCACGCAGAGCTTCCTACCTTGGACGAAGCTCAGTGGAGGACAGGTGTGCCCTGCTCTGAGATTCCAGGAGCTGCTTGGCCCCAGGAGGAGCTGCTTCTCAGAGGAACTGCCTAACAGGCAGCAAAGCCAGCACCTTCTGGCCAGGTCAGGTGTCTCCGGCTTGTCCTTGTGGACATTTAGGGGACCCTTTCCACTCTCTCCAGCCTTTCCCTAAGCAGCTTGAGCCTAGGATTGAGGGACAGCAGGTGACTGTGCTCAGAGATCTAGTCTAGACCAGCTTCTCCCACCTGGCCCAGAACCTCCCTGGATTTCCCAGGACACAGCCACCAAGTGCCCTGATATCTTCCTGTCCCCTCCCCACCATCCCATGTCCATAGACACCACAGGAGCCCCTCTCCCCTGAGAGGTTTCCTCCCGCTGATAAGCAGCCCTGGTCCACACTCATACCTCACTGATAACAACCGATAACAAGTCGACTCTAAAAGGTTGATTCTGCCCCAAGACGGGAGGTCTGCTTTATCCTTGGCCTGAGGCTGATGTGCAGGAGGGAGCAGGTGGTCCAGTAGTTGGGATACCTGCCTGGCATCCTCTTGTCCCCTATTCCTTTAGAGACATATGTCCTGGACCTTAGCTCAGAAGGGTTTTATTTGTTTTGGGACAGGGTCTCTATGTGGCCTGAACCTACAGTATCCAGCAGGCTTCCCCACTGACAGCTCAAGACTCTTCTGACAACACACTGCCCAAACAAGATACCCAAAGATTGAGCAATAGAGAGAGGTCTGACTCTGAGGGACTCAGTCCACCAACCATCTATAACTTCCAGAAGCCTTGGCCACCAGGGTCCTCAGAATGGTCCTTAGGCCAGTTTCAGCAGTTTTGTCCCTAACAAACCCCAGTGATTTTCAGCCCTGGTCATTCCTGGGACCACTCCTCATTGTCACACAGGGAACCTCTATTCTGTATCTCATGTATCTGGAGGTCTCTTCTGAAAGAGCCACCCCCATCTGTGATACTGGCAGGAAGTCTGGAGAGCCGGGAGCTCCCCTGCAAGGATTCAGATTCACATCTCTTACCATCCAGGGCCACCTGCTGAAGGCAATACAAGGTGTTGTGTGCCATCACCAATAGGGCTAGAACGCTCTGCAGCATACAGAGAGGAAACACACCCTCAGGCACTCATTCCTTCACTCAAGGTCACGTGAGTGCCGGCACTGGAAGCCCAGAGGGTTCACACCCAGGCCTTACACAGAAGGATGCTCTTAGAGAGACTGATGTATTGCAGGATATCTGAACACATTGTGAACCCCAAGATTGTGAATTGGGCAAACCTTGTCGCTGTGCAGCTCAGTCCTAGCACACACCTTTAATCCTCAATAAGTCAATCCTAAAACGAGAGGCAGAGCTAGCAGCCAGCCGACCTTCCTACTCGACCGATGTCCCAGAAGGGAAAGGCTCTCCTCCTTCTCTGTGTCCTCTTAAATACCTTCAACCCAATGTCCCTCCCTGTCGGCTGGTTGCTTGCTCCACCTTTTGACCTAGGGTTGACTTTATTGAAATCCTGGATTAAAGGTGTGTGGGAGGGCTGAGCCACACCACGACAAGGTTTTTCCAGTTCATAATCTTGGGGTTCACAAGGCATTCAAATATCCTGCAACATTTGCACACTTGGAAAGTGCCGAGGAGGGGCAGGCAGGAGGTATGGCCGGGCGCAGAGGCAAAGTGTGTTCTTTCTCCCATCAGTAACTAAAGCCTTGGGTCTCTGGCTCCTTGGTTGCCCAAAGGTAGAGCAAAGTAGGCATAAGAAGGAAAGAAGAAAGGTTGAAGGTATCGGCCCTTGAACCTGGCCACAGTCGCTCTTCAGTATGATGGCTAACCATGGGGGAAAAGTCAATGCAGTTAGTCAACTGATGTGTGGCCAGCCAGCAGAGGCGTGGTATGTCACCAACATCCAGTGGAAGCACAGAGCCTGGGGTTCTGAAAGACACTCAAAGAAAAATGACTCCTCGAGGCCACAGGCAGAGAACCCTTCCCCGAAAGCCCACCGGCTATCTATCCACCAGAGTGGCTTTGTTCCATACCAGAAGGAGCAGGAGGACCAGAGAGAGGCTCCAGAGCAAAATTCCAACATCCAGTTTAGCTTATGCTACGTCAGCCAAGCTTGCCTCTGGACCAGGAATGGGGTAGCCTGGGTCTTCTGCTGCCCACGGTCCTCTTAGAATACTTCTGCTGATCCTACCCAGGTGACTTTCCACTCCTCTGTGCAGAGCTTGGCAGGCTCAGGCAAAGGGGGTCAGACTTCTCAACACTGCCTTAGCCTCTAGGAGCTGGTACCCAGCCTTGAACGTGCAGAGGTGGAGAGTAAAGGATCTGTGATGACCAGGCCAAAATATAGGAGAGACACTAAAACCCACAAACCTCCTAGGAGACGTAAAGGGGTCCTGGTGGCTGTTTCTTCTCTACATCTGAAGACTGCAAGCAAAGATCTGGGTGGGGTGGGGCACATATCCTCTTCTCAGACTGAGGGGTCAGCTAGGCCACCAGCACCACTATGGTAGATGGTAGAAAGAAGCTGCCCTGCTCATGGCCAGAGGTTTTCAATTATGCTAAGGGGTATCTCAGCTCATCTTACAATTTTATAGGTTCCGAGCCTGTTTACTTGCTTCTGAACACTGCTGAGCAATATGGGGGAAATGAAGACGCTCCAACACCCCAGCTTCAGTAGTATGGTCTTGTGGCCCCCTCTCTGGCCAGCTTTCTTAGGAATCCCTGAGCTAGAGTGGCCACCTGGCAGTGCTCGTTGGTTCCCTCTGCTGGTCAGAAGCCAACATTACAGGCCCCTAACCAGGCTGCATTCCTGCAATCTAAGATGAAGATGACTTAATTAGCAGAGAGACACCTGCAGCTGCCTGCTATGTGGATTCCCACAGGAAAGGAGGGATCTGCTGCAGGCTTCAATAATCACAGGCTGCTTGGGATGGTTTGCCTTTGTCCAGGGGCACAGACATTCACTTTCTGCAATAATACTGACAGCAAAGAGAACAGCCACGGACAGCCACGGAACTGAGGGACAGAGCTCCTCCAGGTGCTCCACTGCACCCCTGGAGAGCCAGTCAGTTCCTGCAAAGACAGCCTGCTGTTCTGTGTTTCCCCACAGGGGTGATTCTGGTGCAAAACAGATTACTCCAGCCCACTATGGCTGTTCCTACTACCTATGTCTTCCTGCCCAAGCCCAGCTACCCCCATAGAGTAGTGGTACTAAATTACAGTTTAACAAGCCCGAGGCTTCTGGCCACCCACTGTCTCTCAGGAGCACTTAGGGAGGCCAGGTCATACCTACAGCACCACAAAGAGAGCTCAGAAGACACACATTTGCCGAAACTGTTCAAACACAAGTGGCTGATCTGCTGACACAGACCATAGGGCTGTCCACATGGAAAGGGGCCCCGTGTCCACAGCTGTGCCATGTATCAACCTCCCGGTGCAACAAGGCAGAGTTGCCTCTAGAGAACAGCTGGATGTAAACTCAGCAGCTCTGCATGTCTCCCAACTCCACCGCTTCTGCCAACTGGCCTCTGGGAACCGTCATCGGGGCCTTCTGTTCTGGTCACCTAGGGTACTTACTGACAGAAGCCAGGTCAGAGGCCTCTGGGCTGAACACTTGAATGTAAGGGACTCAAAGGAGACAGGGAAGGCTAGAAAGCCACTCCAACTGAAGCCAAAAGGCTCACCCCTTGCTACTTAGCCATGGTGTGGTCTGGCAGAGACTGTCCATTTGGGCTCCATCTTTTTCAACCAAAGCACAGGCCCAGGCACATAACCTTGGGCACAGCCTTCCTGACTATCCTGCCTCCAGGACACCCATACCCATCATCACTCCTGGAACTGCACGGACTGAAACAGCCCGAGAACACCGGTGTTTCCTGGAAGCCCGTGGGAAGGGACCTCTGTGTCTCTCCCATTGCCTCTGCTCCTTAGCCCACAGTGGAAACCACAACCACCGACACTGACCTCTGTGCCACTCAGTGATGCTCCACCTCTACCCTCAGGAAGATTCAGAGATCAGTGGATGTATCTGAGAGCTGATCCCCAGAACCTGAGGAGCCGTGGGGCATTTGGGATTGGAACACGGCCATTAGAGGGTGCGTTCTTGGCCTGGTGTTGCTTTGCCGGAGAGTTCAGTCCCTCTGGAAGAACTGGAACAGGAGTGAGAAGGAACTTCAGGGCGGGAGCTGGGGCATCCACTCCCTGTGTGTGCCACCTCAGAGCCCCTGTCCTGGACACTAAGGCTTTAGGGGTGAGTGGAGAGACAGGAAAACTGGTGGTGTATGAGCTGGCTGTGAACATGAAGACCTCGGGCTTGAGCATCCAAGGAGATGGACTTCACCATCTTGGTGTTGATACCCACTCACCAGCCAGTGTAGAGGAAGTGCCTGGCAGTTTGCCTTTGCTGCTGGGGATACAGCTGAGGGTGGGACAGGCTGAAGGCAAACCGCGCTGAGGACATTTACACAGGCTGAGTGGTTAAGCATGCTGCCTCTGGGCTCCCAGTCCTCCTACACGAATTATAGGGCACTGGGCTTGAACTGAGTCCTTTCAAGCTGTCTGCCAGCCAGTGAGGACAATTAGCCAGTCTAATAATTAGAGCAACCCCCAGGGGTCCTGAGTGACACAGAATGGCCATAGTAAGAAGGAACCTTGGGAATACATGGCCTGACATAGCACTTGCAGACGGCTGTACCCAGGGAGCCAGTCGTGAAACCAACCCCATTCTGACACCAGAAGGCCCCCAATCCCAGAACTTCTTTGAGAGCAACAGTAGTTTGGGGTTTAAGAGGCCACTGAGGGTGGAACTCAGTAGAGAGATTTATGCAGAGGGAGCTCATAGCAGACCTGGCCAAGGACGGCTTAGCCTGGTCTGGCGGGAGAGATGTGGTTCAGGACGGTAAAGGCTTGAAGGTGGGGCCTCAGGTTGCCATGTGAACCTTGAGAATTGTATACCCAGCTTTTACTGGGGGTCGCTGGCGGGAAAAGCTGTGGTGGAGGGAATGAGCGGACCCACACAGTCTACAGGAAGTGGGTGAGCCCACACGGCGTGCGAGGAGTGGGTGGACACATGCTACCTCACAACTAGTCTCCTTTTCACAGCAGGCGGATGAGGCAGCACAGACAGACAGCCAGCAGCTCCACCCTTCCGACCCCACGGAGAAACAGCAGCCCAAACGACTACATGTCTCCAACATCCCCTTCCGGTTCAGGGACCCCGACCTGCGGCAAATGTTCGGGGTGAGTGTGCACACCCCACTCTATCATTGCAGAGAGTCTCCCCAGGGGACCTCCAGCTGTGCTTCTGTAGCAGCTCACAAAAGGGGGTACCCAAGCTGAGGGCAGGGACCTGGGGAAGTCTGTCAATTAAGAGTCAAGTGATCACCTGGTCCTCTGACAGAAATCTGCCCACTACTCCCCTGCCGCCTGTTCCCAAGGGGCCACAGAGTCCCCGCCCCACCTCCACAGCCTACCTAGGACCAGATCACTGCTTCCCAGCAGAAAGTACCTGGAGGGACAGCCCTCCTCCTGGCCTTACACAGCCTCAGCCTCACCTGTGTGTCTGACAAAACTCCCCTCTTCCAGGCTGATGTCTTGACTTCCCAGGGGAGGAATACCTTGCAAATCCAATTGATTGGAACCAAGCAGGCAGCGGTTCCCTTCCCAGGTGCTCTGGGTGTTGCCTTAGATTTTGCACGGCTGGGCTCCAGTCAGGGCAACTCCACACAAGGCTGCCCTGGAGGCTTGCCTCAGATCTGAGCACCACGTCAAGTTCTGGTGTCCACGGGAGGTGGGGCTGCCATGGAGAAGACCAGGGGTGGGGGAATATGGTACAGTTCCCTGAGCCCCTGCTCTGACTACAGAGAACCACGTAGCCTGCCTCTGCTCCTTCTCTGCCTCCATCCTCAATTCCCCTCTCTCTGCCTGGCACCAGCTCCCTTTTTAACACACAAGACCCTGAGGAAGCCTCAGCCCTCTGCTCGGTCTTTCTCACACAGCTGGGATATGCAGGATGCCTCTGAGTAGCCCTATGTGACACTAGAATTGCACCCCCTGATCTTAGGGTGGGTTTCACTGGATCAGTGAACCTTCAGATGATAAGGTTATCACACCCTCTCTGAGCCTGGGTGCCTTAAGTGGCTAACACTACAGTAACCCCTAGCCTGGGCTCACCCTGTGGCTGACACTATAGGTAACCACTGGCCTGGGCTCACCCTCCTCTTAACTCACAGGGTCCTAACAGAGCTCAAGTGTCATGTTTCTGGGTTCTAGGACGAGGTAAAGCGTCCCCCTCCTCTCAGAACCTGCAAATAAGGGCCCTATACTGACCTGGCCCTCCAGGCCCTCTTGCCCTGTCTCAGGAATGTGTAAGATGAGGGGAGCCCTCATCAGTTGCTGGCCCAGGAGGCTGCGGGCTAAGGACCTTGCTGGTATTGTTTGGAGATACGGATCACAGATTCATGGTCTCGCAAACTACTGAGGGAGACAAGACTAATCATGAGTCTACAGGCTAGCTGGAGGGCTGAAGGTATTGGCCAGAGCGAGAACAATGTATTCTGGCTATCAGGGCATCCCGTGCCAGCAGGAAGCCTGGGAGCCAACAGGAGCCTTTTCCACAGCACGGGGCAAACAGTACTGGATCCCAGGAGCCAGTTTATCAGGACCCATCTCCCGTCCCCGCCCCCAGGCTCCGCCCACTTAGTCTTATCCCTGGTCTCCCGGGTCCCAGCTTCCACTCTTCTCCCCATCTCAGAGGGGGCTGAAGGTTCCTCCAAATCAAGGGTCCTGCTCTGTCATCTCCCCGGCCATTTCCCAGCTCCAGCTCATGACCCCTTTCCACGCGCCTATTCTGGAAAAGGCCTGGCAGACATAGATTGAGGATAGCACTAAAACCTCGGACATTCCGTCCCAAGGCCCAAGGGGATTCCGGTGCTCTGACGCATGCTCCTTAAGAAAGACAAAAGCCTCCAGAGGAAAAGGGGAGGGCTTCCCTGGGGTCCTCTTTACCTGAGCCTGGTGGCATCTTGGGAGTGAATGGGTAAGGCTTCGCTGTCATAACCCCTTTCTCCTGTCTTCCACCCCTCCTCTCTCTGTCTCTGCAGCAATTCGGGAAAATTTTAGACGTGGAGATCATTTTTAACGAGCGGGGCTCCAAGGTGGGTGCCGCACAGAGGCCGCCACCATTACAGCGCGCCGGCTGTAGGTCCCGCCAGGCTAACGTGTGAAATGTGCGTTTCCTTCCTGGAGAGCTTCGCGCCCGCTCGCTCGCTCGCCCGCCCGCCCGAGGACCCCTGAGCCACACGGGTGCTTGTACTCCCTGCTCTTCTGCCCCCGCCCCCAGCTGTCTGTTGTTGCTGCCAGGCTGCTTCTCCTCTTTTGAGCTGCCAGGACCTCCTGCTTGCATCCCAGAGCCCCTCCCCAAACCCCAGCCCTGGGCCTGGGACCCCAAGCCCCTCCAACCACTCACCCTTAGAGCCAGGAGGCTTCTGGGAGGGGCTGCAAAATCTATAGACGGGGAGGGCATCCAGCAAAGATAAGCTCTGCTCCCCTCTCCAGGAAGACACACATACACACCCTGGGCTCCCAAAGCAAACGTGGGGAAGATTGTTCCCCCATGGAGCCCAGCCTCAGCCTCTCACCCCAAGGTGGGGTTACAGTAGCAGGCACTGCCCCCGGCCAGGTTAGCTTCTCTTTGGTCTTCCTGGGAGGTGTCCCACATGGTGAGTGTGGACTGGTCTCAGGCCAGGCTACCAGCTGCCCTTGCCTGGGGCCATCCCTGCCCCCCACCCCAGTATGACCTCCTAGCGCTGGCACCAAGACAGACTTCTGACACTGGGGGCTGTCCTTCACTCACCTGACTTGCCCCTTCTCTCTCCCTCCCTTTGCCCCCTCCCCCACCTCTCCTTCCCTTTTCTCATCCTGTCTTCTCCTGTCTGTCCTCCTCTGCTCACAGGGTTTTGGGTTTGTAACTTTTGAAACTAGCTCAGATGCTGACCGAGCCCGGGAGAAGCTGAATGGGACGATCGTAGAGGGACGGAAAATTGAGGTGCTCAGATAAGTGTGCGGCGTAGCAGGGCAGGGAGGTCCTGGACAGCATGCTCCGCCCCTGGGGCCCTCCCACCAGCCCGGTGGCTTCCGCCCACCCTACAAACTGCCCAATAGAGGCCTCTGACTGGAGCAGGGGCTGCTCCAGAGAACAACCTAGACTGAGTCTAGCACCTGTTGGTGGCCGGTGGAGGCTTGAGGCTCCCTCTGAGGTCTTTGCCTCTGACCTCCTTTTCCCCCATCCCTATCCACACACAAGGGGCCTCAGAAAACACGTGATCTCAGGGTGGTCTCCAGAGCTATGGGCAGCCTTGCTTGTCCCTGATGACTAAGAGGATCTGCTCCTCGGGCAGCCTCCGCTGCAGCCTTGTGGAATCTCGAAGCAGAGGTGGAGCTAGCAGTGAGCAGAGCTGAAGGGGTCACCCAGATACTCCCACTTCTGCCCGTTTCCTCCTTGTTGATTCCTCAGTGTGGCTTTGGGGTCCAGAACTGGACTCCCCCGGCATGTCCAAAGCAGAAGGGACAACAACTAAAAAGGGGCCTAGAACCATAGGAGCTGAGGGGTTATGAGATCCCTGACCCCACCCACTGCCCAAGCCTCTGGGCTCACACATGCTCACACAGTGTAGAGGAGGCATGTGGCCCAGACCTCTTCCTCAGGCACTGCCTGGTCCATTCTCATATGGGCCACCTCTGTCTTCTGTCTCATTGCCCCCCACCCCAGGGAACCTGGACAGGCCTATGTGTCTAGAAAACAGGACCCAGCCCCTGGGTCTGTCTTTCTCAGGCTTCCCTCACGCACCTTGTCCCTCAGTGGCCCCCACCCTTAAGTTCCATGCTGCAGAGAGAGGTCAGAGACCCTGCCCTGGGAAAAGGGATGTTTGTTCGTGGTGGTAGGAGTAGCTTTCTGGCACACATATAGGAGAGCCTTAGCAATTACCTGGAAGAGAATGTCCTGGAACCCTGCCTGCTAGCCAGCCTGGGGCTAACTCAGAGGACCTCAGCTCACCAGCAGTGTTGGGCTCTCCTGAATGGAACTGCTTCATGGAAAGCACCCGTGTGGGCGAGGGTCCTAGACCCAGCTAGAAACAGCTCAGGGGCCTTGGTGGCCTTCCTTCGCAAAGGCCACACCCCAGGGGTAAAGCCAGGGTGGCTGAGGGCCTACTATGAGACAGACATGCTCACCCTTCCTCTCTATCTCTGGACAGGTCAATAATGCCACAGCCCGGGTCATGACCAATAAGAAGCCCGGGAACCCATATGCCAATGGTGAGAACCAAAGCTTTCCCAGCATGCGTCAGGGGCTGGGGCAGAAGCCTGGGGAAGCTGAGGCAGCAAAAAGCCAGCCTTCCTGGGTACTCAGCCATTGTCCCTGCCTGGTATCCCAGATTTCCCACTTCTATCCTGTCAGAGAGGAGTGGCCAGCTGAGATGGACACCTGGGGTCACCCCTCCCCACCCACATAACAGCTGGTGTCTCCAATCAGAGCCCCTGAGCTTTTCCAAGTGTCCACAGCTCTCAGTGGCCATTTAGACAGGCAGCAAGTGCAGTGGAGAGTTCCTGGGAGACGAGTCACCATAGAGAGCTCGGTGGTCTGGTGTGCTGTCCTCATCCACAATACACATACACAGGCAGGCAAAGAGGGGCTGTGGACCTCAGTCCACACGGGCAGGCAAAGAAGGGCCGTGGACCTCAGTCAAACTTCCAGACCACTCTGAATCCCAATCTTTTCAACTGAAAACAGGAATGTTAAGGGATGAGGATATGGCTCAGTTGATAAAGAGTGTTTGCCTGTCACACACAGAACCCTGGGCTCCAGTCCCCAGCATCACATAAAGTGGTGGCTGGTGGTGGTACACATCTGTAACCCCAGCACTTGCAAAGAAGAGGTAGAGGATTATAGTTTAAGGCTAACCTGGGCTACTCGAGACCCTGGATCCACTACTTAGAGCTGGGTAATGATGAGTACCACCTCTAAGGGCATCTCAGGGCTGGGGTCACTCGGGGCTGGGGTCACTCAGGGCTGGGGTCACTCAGGGCTGAGGTCACTCGGGGCTGGGGTCACTCAGGGCTGGGGTCACTCGGGGCTGGGGTCACGGGTGTCAGTGTTAAGTGAAACACTTGACAATGAGAAGAAGTATGTTCTTTCAGCCTTGACAGGGCCAGCTACACCATGAGGCTCCCAGCTGGCCCACACCGTGAGTGAACTATGTGGTTGTGAGTACGCACACCTGCTGGCTGCAGGCAGCCTGAGTCTGCCAGTGCTGATGGCTGCCTCCACGGTGCCTTCTAGAGATTCTAGTGAGGGTCTGCTCTGCCAAGTGAGAGCAAGTCTTCCCTGAGGGTAGCTGGCTGTGTACAGGGACCGTGTCTGGCTCTTGGAGCCTCCTGGGGAGCAATTTCTGTAATGGGAGGGTTGTACCATAGGTGGACAACACAATGACCCACCTCTGCGTGGAGGGAGGATGGACCCCAGGATGGACCACATCACAGCTGCCCTTGCCCTCAGATAGGCTGTATGCAGAGCTGGGTGAGTCTCTAGTGCTGAGAGTCTGAGACAGGACAGTGTGCAGAGCTGGTGCATGGTCAGACAGAGATCAGGTGATATGGTTTATTAGCTGGGTTTTCTGTCGCTATGATAAACACCTATGACCAAGAGCAACTTGAGGAAAAGGGGGTTTATTTGGCTGACCGCAGTCTGTCACTGAGAAAAGTCAAGGCAGGAACTGAAACAGAGGCCATGGAGGAAGGCTGCTCACTGGCCTGCTCAACCTGGCTTACTCAGCCTGCTTTCTCATACCATCCAGGACAGTCTCCTGCCTGGGTGGCACCACTCACATTGGGCTGGCCCCTTCCATATCAGTCATTAATCAAGAGAATGCCCGCACGCAGGCTTGCCCACAGGCTAATGAGATGGGGTCATTTTGTCACTTTGAGGTTCCCTCTTTCCAGCTGACTCCAGACTGTGTCAAGGTGTGTGTGTGGCGGGGACCTGGTAACTAGCACCAATGAGGACTCTGGCTAGTTCCAGCTTCGAAATGAGTGCCAATGGCTTCCTCTCCCCACTTTTACAGGGACTTAGTTCTCAAAATCCTGAGAACTTGAAGGTGCCCTGGATTTAGCAAAGTCCCCAGAGCATCTCAGCTAACTTCTGCTAGCTGGTGACTAGCACAGGAGATAAACGGGTAGACTTAAGGGGGACCGGATGTGGGATGGGTAGGTGGTGCAACCGAGGAGTGGTCACTACCTACCGTGGAAGCCCTCATGAGAGAGGAGGACACGGCTGACCTGCAGCACCTATCAGCCACTGTACCTTTACCCCCGTTAAATTGATAAAGCCCTCTTCTTTAAGAGCTGGATGTTCTAGTGGCCTGAGAATTTGAACCTGGTCCTGTGCAGTGTGCCTCAGTCATAGGCTCCTGATTCTGTCGCCTGGAATAAATGGACACAATGACCTAGCCAACGTAGACAGCTGCTACGTGAGAGCCACGGGCATCACAAACAACTCTCTGGACCCTGCACTAGGTCATAGGGGTCTAGTGGATGGTCGTGATATCCACTAGAAAGTCTGTCTCCAAGGTCAGCCACACAGGCTGAGGAGACCTGCTCTGTCAGGGAAGAGACCTGTTTGCTTCTGTGGATCCGTGGGACACGCGTGGTCCATAGTTCTGCACCACGGCCAGAGCCCCCTTCCCACTCTTCCCTCAAGATACTTGGGGCACACCGCTGTCTGGGAAGAACAGCAGGCTGAAGAGTATGCTTGTACAGAATAAACCCAGCCCCAGAGAGCCTTGTTCCTGGCTGGCTACTCGAGGTACAGGAAGCTGTTGAGAGAGGCAGGCAGCTCTGCTCATCCCACTATAGAAGACTCCGTTTAACAAGCAAGAATCCTGGGGCTTCAGAGGGACAGGCCTGGGCTCACTGTGACATGGCCAGGAGGGGCATTGGCTCGTGAGAGCTTTAACACTGAGTACTCTGAAGTCCACCACTGGCAGGCTTGTGGTCCCCACTGCAGGAAGCAAGCTCACCAGGTTTTACCAGGTGCCCTACCTACAGTAGATATAAAGCCTTCCAGGTGGGTCCTCAGGCTGTCTCGGTTAACCTGTGGGGATCACCTGAAACAGAGACAGCAGGCAAGTGAACATTCTCAGACAGCCAGAACTGACAGGTCAAGGTGCCCAGGGCCCCTGAAACAGGATGCATCCCCAGACTCTCCTCTCCCCTAGGGAAGGTGGGACCCAGACCAGCCCCAGAGCTCAGATCTATCCTGGAAGATGTGATCTTAGGGTCGATTTCCCCAGATTTCTTCCCTGCTAACCTTAGCTATGTGGAAGAGTCCAGTTTAGACGCAAGGTGGGGAACTAGGGGATTGAGGATAGGTAAAGGGTAGGTGACACCTGTTACCTGCTCTCCCGTGGGGTTTCCATGTACAGTCTGCTACAGTATATTGCTACCCTCTCGCCGACTGGCCATGGCTCAGGTCTTCTCTGTCCCTCCTCAGCATGTATGCAAATGAGGAAGTGAGCTAATCCTTTGCCAGCTACCATCTGACCTGTATGTTGGCCACTAGAATTAAGCTTCTACCTCTGGAGGCCCCAGGGAATCAGGGCTTTGCTCCCAAGTCCCAGTGCAAAGAGGACTGCCCACCTGCAAGAAGGGGCAGGCAGGAGTGCAGAGTCCAGCTGGAGTCCCAGGGAGAAGCCAGTCACACACACACATGCACACACACACACACTACCAGTCTGTCTCCGCATGTAAAAGGGGGAGGTTGTAACACCTGCCCCGGTCGGTGCATGATGAGACCCTCAGGAGTGACTATAGTATTTATGGTACCCAAGACCTATCAAGCACCATTATTATTCTTTTAACATTTTATTTAATGGTGTGTGTGTGTGTGTGTGTGTGTGTACGCATATCATAGTATGTGTGGAGATCAGAGAACAACTTGCAAGAGTTGCCTCTCTCCTTTCACCATGTAGGTCCAGGGACTTGAACTCTGGTCACCAGGTTTAGTGGCAAGCTCCTTTACTTACTGAGCCATCTTGCTGACTCTGTCAGTTTTCAAGTTATATCTTCCCTTCCCATTGTACCCCAAGTTTCTGATGCCTCAGGACAAGGATACCCAGGAGCAAGCTGGAGGAAGTCACAGTGCAGGAAGAACCTAAGAACCCCGGTGACGGGCCAAAGTGGGGATGCCGGCTATTCCTCCAGTAGCAGGTGTATGGGGAGAGGAACTTAGGTCGATGGCCCACCTTCTCTGCCCATAACTGGATGGGGTTCTACCATTTGCAGAGGCTAAGCATGAAAGTATCCCTGTAGGCCTAGCTACCTACTGCCTTTGGAGGTCCTAGGCATAAGGAAAGGTGGCAATGGGAAGCCAGTGGTTGTATTCTTTTTTTGTTCTAGGCTGGAAGCTAAACCCTGTGGTAGGAGCAGTCTATGGGCCTGAATTCTATGCAGGTAATTGCGGGGGCGGGGGTGGGGTGGGGCAGACGGGAGCAGGTGGGATGGGGGTAGGTGGGGCAAGTGGGGCTGTAAGCCCCGCCCTCTCTTTGTTTTCCGCCTCCCACTCTCTTGTGCCCCTTTCTGCAGTGACCAGTTTCCCTTACCCCACCACGGGCACCGCCGTCGCCTACCGGGGTGCGCACCTGAGGGGCCGGGGCCGTGCTGTGTATAATACATTTCGAGCTGCACCACCTCCACCCCCCATTCCAACTTATGGAGCGTGAGTACCTGGAAGGGGAGGCTGAAGGAAAGCCAGGGGGCGTGGGAGGCAGCCCTGAGCAGTTAAGGGGGCTCAGCAGCCCTTCCAGGACCGTGGGGCAGGACAGATGGTGGGGACCTCAGAACCCAGCGCTGCATCTGCCTGCATCATCAGTACCCCAGCATGGGGAACACCTTCGGGGCTGGCTGGCCTCTGTGGGACCATCAGCACGGCATCTGAATGTTAAATGGGACGTGTGCCCTTGGGTCCAGCAAGTGCCTTCTGGGAACACTCTTTGGTCCCTTCCCTGGGGTCCTGCCATCTACTGCTGAAGGGGACAGCTGCCTGGGGGAGGAGGGAGGATAGCAGGAGCGGGCTGATGGGCCCCTGGGTTCTGGGAGAAAGGAGCTGACCAGCAAGGGTGTTACTCTATTGTTATACCAAACAGGGCATTGGAGCAAACGCTTGTTAAAATGCCAGTCCCGTGGGCGGGGCTGGCACCGTGCCCCCTCCCTCCTCAGCAGACACCGGAGCCGGCCTACCCCACCTCTCCAGCGTTCCCACCACTCTCTTGTCCGTTTGCTTCCAGGGTCGTGTATCAGGATGGATTTTATGGTGCTGAGATTTATGTAAGTGTAGCCCTGGGGAGGGAAAGGGCAAGTCCAGCATTCTGTTTGTGTCCATGAGAAGTCCGTCTGCCCTTCCGTCCTCCTGCCCTTTGGACTCGGTGCTTGTGTACCAGTACACATAGACCCATGGCATCTCTGGAGATGCCAGTACAGCTCAGTCTGGGTAATCTGTTCTTACCTCGGCCATTGCTAATGGCTGTCCCAGGAGCCCTGTAAGCATACAGCAACCTGTTCCATGTGGCAGGGTGTTATATGAGGGATATCGAGTGGCCCTCTCCCATCCCTAATTGTACTAAGAGCAGCATCCGAGAACACTCTTGCCTGATGTGGAGGCTCTGAGAGAGACCAGAGGCAGGCCTTGGGTACCCATTCTCTCTGGGTGAGGTTCTGTGCCTTGCTTTCCCTTTGGTAACTGTGCTCATCACTTTCTGTGGCTCTGAATCCTCAATGAGCATCCCACAGAACGAACCTGGCTGTGCCTGGGCCCTGGGCAGCTATCTGTAGCTAACTATCCACTGTCCAAGGCTAAGGCATTATCTGAACCAGTCCCTTCTGGGACCCTTCATCCCTCATGGGATTCCAGATTGTCCAGAGTCTCTGGTGGGCTTCCTATAACTGTCAGCATTCAAGATGTGGCTGGTCTGTGGACACTTAGTGTGTGCTAGGACCAGCATGCAGCCAGAGATACAATTGGTGCCCGTTAGTATGCACTGAAATTGATAAATTTTGAATTGCAAATGATTGCAGGAAGGAAGGAAGGAAAGAAGAAAGGAAGGAAAGAAGGAAGGAAGGAAGGAAGGAAGGAAGGAAGGAAGGAAGGAAGGAAGGGATGGACAACCCTACCTCATCTTGAATAGTGAAGTCCCCAGACTTCCCCCATCAGACCCTCTCAGGCCAGGACCACCTAAGCCATCCCACACCAGGGTGGGAGGACAAAGTCCAGCCCAGGAGGCCTGAGGAGGCCTGCAGCCCCTCCTAAGGGCCTGGCCCTGCTAGGTCAATGTTCTCCAGTTTCTCTGGCTTTTCTTCAACAACAGTGAGTCTCACTAAATCTGTCTGCCATCTCTCCTTCCCACCTCCCCTGCAGGGAGGCTATGCAGCTTACAGATATGCTCAGCCAGCAGCAGCCGCCGCAGCAGCCTACAGTGACAGGTAAGGGTAGGAGCACCAGGCTGCAGGGGGTTGTGGTGGGCTCTTTGGAGGGTGGGTCCAGACAGACAGGAAGCCAGACCCACCATGCAGGACCTATGGGTGCCTGCGTCTGGTGAGGGCAGGGTCTGGAAAGGAAACTAATCCAGACTGAGCTCAGAGATCCATGAACCCGTGAGTCCCTGCCCCCTGACTGGTCACTTCCTTCTAGCTCAGGTAGCAGCTAACACCTGATTCTCAAGACAGAGGTTTACCAATTCTCAAGGCCTTTTACAAAAAAGCAACTGGGCGCCTCCATTTGGCCTCTGGAAATAGTCCAGTTTATGTAACTGGGAGCACCCAGCCCTTCCTCCAGCCAGCTGTGAATGTGCCCAGAAATAAGTGTCTGTGCTGGCTTGCTTTGTTCAGGGGCCAGTCCTCGACAGAGACTGAGCCTAGTGCCTGCTCTCTTAGACTCTTGGCCTGGTAGCTTCAGAATTCCTGTTTGGGCCATATAGTAGATCTGCCTACAGAAAGCTGTCACATCCATCCATACGCCTTAGTGGCCTGGGAGCTGATAGAGCCCTCCAGTAGCGGGTAGGACTCTCCAACCCATGGCTTCCATACGGTTTCTTACCCCACCTTGTAAAACATACATGACATACATGACCCAGGCCTGTCCTCTAAGAACTTGTCACAGCACAGATTAAGTGAGCAGAAGGTCACCTGGGACAGAGTGCCAACTCTTGGGTCATAACTGGTCCCCACTTCCATCTCTCTCCTTTCAAACCTTTTTCCCAGCTCTTAGCCCTAGGTCTTGCTGGGGGTCAGAGTCAAATGAACTTGCTAAGAACACCAGTCCCTCCCTTTGTCACCAAGCAGAACACATTGCCCTCCTAATGAAGGGGTAGTCTGCTAAGTTCCAGAAACTTCCTTCCAAACAGGAAGAAAAGTCAGGCAGCTGAGAGGGTCTCACGGGGGGGGGGGGGGGGGGGGGGGGGGGGGGGGGGAGGGGGGGGGGG